CAGTCGACTCTAGCACGCATTTTCAGCACAGGAAGGAGGAGTTAACTCCTCTCTGTGGGAAGTGTCGCACCCTCACATGCCAAGAGCATCACCAGAACAGCAAGGGAAGGTCCATCTAGCTAAGGAGACTTGATAGGTTTGTTGCTTTAGAGCTTTGTAACTTCGTTCCATTGCTGCAAATCTTTGTTGTAGTTATATGTATCACAAGGACCTTTTTAAGACCACTGAGTCACGGACCAAATGACCAGGACTATTGGCACAGACCTCTCCCCACTCCACCCACCTCATGGCTCCCCACAAACACCTTCCATTCAATTGAACTATGAACAGGGAATTTACTGACTTTGCTTTTACAGGGAGGCAGGACTCAGGCGCCCACTGACGGGCATTTAGACAGGTAGATGTTGTACTGGTTCTTCTTCCCATAAAATACAGTTAGTTTTGAAACTCCAGCATATATATCATATATTTTTCAGAAGACGGATTTCCATTCCCCAGTTTAATGTGAATTTGGCACTAGGGAAAGCTATTAGAAACTCCACTGATTTGCACATGACATGTGGGTGACACTTCACCTGCATGCTTTTACTTTGATCTGGAGCAAAGTGGGAACACATCTTCAAGGGGATTACGTAGATCAGGCTCAAGGTTTATGCTATTTTCGACCTTTCAGTGAATAAAGATGCTAGTGAGCACTAACTGTGAAAGCTTTGAAGGGAAACTGTCCATTCCAATCTGCATGAAAACTGCTCAGCTTAATTCTTGTAACTGAACACAAACCAATCACAATATTTCTGGATGACCTGAACTGAAGACTGACCTTAAAAAAAATGGGGAAGAAAAGGAAAAAAATAATCCTCTTTGATCTGAGGTAATTCACAAAATACATCAATAAGACACAAATCTTCTCACTGAAACAAATGTTAGATCTTAGTGACTCCAAAAAATACAGCACAGTAGTTTTGCAGAATACCTTGTTCTGAAACAGCCCCCCACCTGTCCCAGCATAGACAAAACTCCCAGAATAGAAGTCCCTTGGGACGCAGGGAAATTTTTCTGACAGAATGTTGCTTTTATTATGAGTAGAATCTGTGCAGAATGGAGAGGTATTTCAGAATTGCTTATTTCAGCCTATTACTGTGCATAGACAAGACTTCAATGACAAATGGATTTCAAGTGGCAAATATTATTACCTTCTTTCTTTGCTTTTTTGAGAAAAGTACTAGAACCTTTTCAGCTACAAATATTCAAAATAAAGGTGTGCCTTTTGTGGCCTTATTAACAATAATTCTTTAAAATAACTGAAATGTGTAATCACATTGTGCAGTGCGTGGACAAAAACATATACTTAATTCTGCATTTTGTAAGCAGTAGTGCTGGTTTACTTTCAGACACCCATGGTCCTGCTGGGTTATGAAGCGTCTCCTCTGCTGCTGCATGCACCATGTCATGTCTCCTTCAAACGTGCTGACTTCACCTTCAGGCAGCAAAGGCTTTAAACCTCCTCCAAACTCCAGTTTGACTTACAGGCTCTAATGGGTTGGCACTTTCTTCTTATTTACAGTTTAAATTACTCACAGCCGAACAACACCCAGTTGTTCTTCAGCCAAGATCTCTCTTCGGTTTAAGTATCTCCTGTCTCTCCTACCTAATAGAGACAATAATTTTGTCCTCTCTGTCCACTCATTTTGCTAAGCAAAAGCAGCTTTTCCGATCTGGTCTCGTGTACAGCCCAATTAGCTCCTCTGAACCCTGCCTCTGCTCAGAGTTCATCTTTCTTGAACCCCGCAACTGTTGAAGTCCAAACCATGAGATACACTCAGTGAGTTTTACCCAGCACTATGTATCGGTCAAATAGGAAAACAACAGCAATAATACAATAAAGGCCTAGAGAGGGGAGGAGGAAGGGGAAAATAAAAAATTAAACCAGAACGTAGATAAGGCAAGTTTTCTATGGGGCCCCTGGAAAGCAAAATCTCAATGACCTGACATTGTCCCTCTCTTAATGTATTTATCCCCCTGCCCCAACCTTGTACGAGTCCTGCAAATGATTTTCAGATGACACGTGAGCAGCCGAGCACACAGAGGGGGAATTTCAGCTTCATCCTTCCTGAAATCACCCTTCTGTTCCTCACTCAAAGGCGACGGCAAGACTCATCCGCTCCCATAAGCCAGTGCTTCCGCTGAATACACTTTACAGTAAATATTTTACAGGCTGCTCTCAGGGGCTGTAGGTGTGCATTTTAACAATTAAATCTCGTTGTTGGGAGTGCACCAGTAGCTTGGAGCAGGCAGAGCTTTTCCCGTATATTACACATCTCTTTCTGGTATTTTTCTGCCTGATTAGTAATCACTTCTGACAAATCCGTTCGACAGCTCTGAACACCAGCCTTAGCATTGCAGGGATGCTTCGTGCAAAGCCTGACTGAATGCAAATATTAGGCTAATGCAAGGATGCCTGACAGCATCTGAGCATTTTCTTCACTGGACACCAGAGGGAGGAGCAGGAAAGGACAACTGACAGTGAAGCTAAAGAAGAACTTCTTCAAGAGCCCTGAAACTTATCAGACACCAGAGCCAAATACATTTCTATAATTGGACCAAAATAAATAGTGGCACCTTGTCTGGGGATGGCATTTCTGATAGAAGACTTGGCAAGGGTAACACGAGGTAAAGTTAGGGGAGAAAGGACCCAAGTGCAGCAGCGCTGAGTGCCAGGTGCATTTTAGCCAGCTCCATCTTACAAGCTTTAAACAAACCCAACTAGTTTTGATGCTGGGGCTACTACCGCTGCCCGTATTCTGCTTGGCTTCTGTGCCACAGCTTGTGTGCCTTTCGGTCCAGCTTTCTTCTGGATGTGAAGAAAAACACGTTTCAACGATTAACCGTGGATCCAGGGCCACCACAGTTTCTGAGTCCCGTACCACGAAAGTGTGAAATTTGGAACTGCAAGTGCTCTACGATGAGATGGAAATGACAGGACCTTGAAAGGAGGGAGGCAGTTCAAGGAGATTGATATGGTATCTACCTAGGAAGGTGACAGCAAATGCTCAACATGTGGTTAGTATCTCGATTAAATAAAAAAATGAGAGATATTCAGCAAGATTACCAGGGAACTATTTACTATCTTATTAAAACTATGCTTTTATTTCCTCATCAAATCTTTTCATTATACCTTCAAGGCATACAGAGGATTATTAAATGTCACCCACAATTCAAATAATTAATGTATGGTGTTACCAGATATATATATGCTCTCCAGGAGGATTAATAATAGCTGCTATTTTTCTTCCAACCATATTTCCTCCATAATACATACATTAATCATGAGAACACAGTGCATTTTTTTAAACTGCTCTAGTATTGCAAGTCTTTAAGGAACTCATACTTTGAAAATTGGAGAATTCTTAATATATTCTGTTCTCTATTTTTTAATTTAATATCAAAATACAAAAACAGAGTAAGCACTTGGAAAGGAAGGAGTATAAGAAAGGCAGCGCTTTCTCCAGAGCTGCTATTCATTGCAGAATCAATGTCTTCAATTCCTTGAAATAGGTCTTTAAAAATAACAAACCAGAGTTGCAAATTCAGAAAGCAGCTTGTCCCCCGTTAAAACGGACTGGCTTTTGTTGCTAACTTACTACAATCAAAACAGTTTAGAAAAGGCATCAGAAAAGTACTTTTATATGAAACGCTCCTCCCAGGGCTGGCTGGGGGCTGCGTTCAGCACCTACTTGTCAGCTTAACTCCATCTCTGCAGCGTGCTCGTCCCTGCGAGGCACTGAGCAGCAATGTGCGTGTTGTCCATAAAAACCACTGCATGGGAAAGGGAGCACAGCGGGGCTGGGGCTTTGCCCCTCTCAGATCCCTGCTGCCAATGCCAGAGCAGAGAGAGGGAGAGCTGACCCCTCTGCTCTTGACTTTGCACTCAAGAGCTGATGTAGACTTTCCCTGCGAGCTTAACACTAACTCTTCCAGTAATTTTAATCCACAGACTAAAAGTGTGCTACGTGAGGTGGGGTGTGCTACCTCAGGTTACTTTATAC